CCGAGGTCCACAGAGGACACGCTAGGAGGTTGACAGAGCCGAGCCTGGGAGCCTAATGTGTTGGTTAAAGCCCCGAATGTGAGGCTTTAACCAGCACATTATTTTCATCAAGTTGAAAAGAAGCCGAGTGAGGGTCAAGGGGCTGTGAGGAAGCAGGGCTGGCGGCTGGCAGTGCAGCCGCGGAAGGCTTCAGAGAACAGAGGGGGCTTGGGCTGAGGCTGGAGAGCTGGGGAGAGGCGTGAGGGGGTCCGGGTTCAACAGGGCATCGTGGGAGGTAAAGGGAAGGCCAGAGGCTGGGGACCAGGGTGAGCCAGGACCTGGACCCACCCAGGCCTGAGTTGGAATCCCGGTTTTGCCACACCTGCTGTGTGACCCCATCCCCGTCCCTACTCCCCCACCCCCACCCCCAGCCTCTGATTCTTCAGCTGGGAAAAGAAATAATAACCCTGCTTGTTGCTGTGGTAGGTGCTTAATAAATGCTTGTTAAATTAACAAAGAGTTGTAGTGATGTTTCAGCAAGAGGGACCAGACAGCGCCTGGCATAGAGCTGGCGCTTCCAGAGTGTTCCCTCTCTGAGGGCGGCCACCGAGGGATGACGGGTTCAGCTGGGCCCCACTCTGAGCTGTGTGACCTCCGGCAGGTCCCTCCGCCTCCCCTGCTGTCCCACCCAACATCAGTGGGGTGCTTGAAGGCCTGCAGGCGGGCTAAGCACCCCCTACGTGTGTGCTTCTGCCCCCTCCCGCCCGCCGTCTAGGGGCCGAGTGCGGCCAGGCCAGCCCGCCTGGGCCTCGGGACACGCTGCTGCTGCTGTCTGGGGCCAGAGGGCCTGCGTGACGCACCTGCAGACGCCACCGTGACTCCCACAAGTGGCGGCGGGTGCTCGTGGGGAGATTCGCCTGCACAGCCTTCCCAGGCTGCAGGAAACTGCTGAGGCTGCTGCCACTTTATTGGCTTTTTTTCGGCAAAGGGAGCTGTGGGCAAGGAGGGGGCATTTGGTGTCATCATATCATAGGGAAAACCTAAGAGGACACAGGTGCGGGGTGGCCCTCCTGCCTCTCTGGACCCCCTGGCAGGCAGGGTCCAGCCCTCCCTAACTCCTCAGGAAGGAGCAGGATAGAGACGGTGCCAGTGAGCTGACAGCCCTGCTGGTCCCCTTCACTCTCTCCCTGAGGCTCAGGTGTCCATCGCCAGCCGCTGACTCATGTGCCACAGCCCTGCTTTCAGCCTCAGTTTCCCTAGTTGTCCAGGATCCAGATGTTCACAGCACAGCAAAATTAAGAACAAACAAAAAAAAGAGTTGGTAACTTGCACAGCATTGTCGATTCTTCACTTGGCTAAGAAAGGACATTACATTTCAAAACGCAGCCAGCATCGCCCATCCCCATTATTTCCCAAAAAGAAAGAACGTTCACCCTACAAGATGCTGCACTCTTAGAATAAAGGAGGGAGAGCCTGGCTGGGAAGGGGAGGGACGTGTTCCAGGTCACCCAGCAAGGCAGCCAGAGCGCCCGGCCCCCCGGGCCCCCACCATAGAAACCCTGTTCCCCAGTGTGTGCGCACAGGGCACTTTCGGTGCAAGCGGATTAGACCAGCTCCCTTTTTCCAGAAAAGTACACTTAGTTGTAGCCATGGTACAGGCACCTGAACAGCTAGGGCACCCTTGCTCTCTCTCTCTCTCTCTTTTAATAAAACATCTATATTCGGAGGAAGATGGTACCCAATCCTCAATGCCTGTCGCCTCTCTCCCATGATCTCTGTCCCTTTCTCTTTCACACTTTTCCCTTGGGTCCTTGTGCCTTCGCCAGGAAGCCCCGTGTGACAAACAAGGGACAGAAAAGCTGGCCGTCTCCTGGCAGCCGTGACCCGCGAGCACTGGCCGAGCTCCGTACCCCTCACTTTGTGTCATCCTCGTGCGGTGCCGGCAGCTGAACCGCCCGCTCTTGTGCAGGGGCTATGGTGATGGATGGAGTGGTGGTGTATCTGGGCAGGTGACTGAGGACGAGGGGCTGGGCCCTCACCAGCCCAGGGTCTTCAGGGGGACGCCCCACACATGGGCTGCCCATGGCGGAGTGTCGGACCTGGTGGCAGCACCTGTGCTCGCAGGCAGCTTTCCCAAAGGCCCAGGAGTGGACGTTTCTGAGCACCGCCTGAGCTAGCGGGCACAACGGTGGTGGTCCCGGGCCTGGCCCAGGGCAGGGGCTCGGGGAACGGTTGCTGTGACCGGGAGAGGAGGCGTGGGGCCGGGAGATGAGCTGTGCCCCCCCCGCCCCCCGGGCTACACGTGGGTGCTGGGGATGGGGAATTAGGGCGACGGAAGGGCAGGGGCTGGGGCGGTGTTGAAGTGGAGGGTGTGAGTGTAGGGGGTAGGGACGTACAGAGCCTCGTCCTGGGGCTTTGCTGAGACTCCTGGCACTTCCACTAAGGGATGGGAAACAGTGGGCAGTGCTGGTGAGGGGAGCCCCATGAAGAACCCTCTCCTGCAGCACCAGATGAACCCCCAAGGTCAGGACCAATTCCTTTGGGCAGAGATCGAGGGCCCCGCAGCACCCTGTCTGGCCTTGGACAGGGCCCTTACCCTCTCTGGGCCTCACGGTCTTCATCCACCAAAGGCGCAGGTTGCTACGCTCTGTCCCCTCTGCCTCTCTATCCTGCAGACCTGAGGCTGGTGGGTCCAGGGCCTGCCAGGGCTGGGCTGGTGCCCTCTCTTCCCTAGCCCCGAAGTCCTACCCCAACCCCCTCCAGAGAGGAAGCTCCTCTTCCCAGGAGCACCTCCTGGACCTTCCAGGAGTGGAAGTGAGGGGACTGCTCAGGGCTGGCGCACCTGCTCTGGGACCCTTAGCGAGTTCATTTCAGCTCTGAGCTTCCTTGGCCTCAGATGTAAAATGAGGGTCTTGAAATCAGTGATCTTGAAACCCTTCCTACGGGCTCTGGTTCCTTCTGTGGTGCTAATGGATGCATTCAAGATGGTGAGACAAAGCAGAGAGGGATGTATTGAGCGAAGGAAGACCTCTCTGAAAGCCATTTATAGCCTAGAAGGCGCCCCTGGCCCCCAGTGCCCTCAGGGCTACCCTGGGGCCCTGGCTGCTGGGACTCTAGGGGAGGCAGCAGAGAGGGTCTGGGAAGCCCAGTTAAAATCATGACCTCTTAAGGGCCAGCCCTGCACACCCGCATTACCTGTTAGGTCTTTTAGACTGAGGGGTCTCACTGGTCCCATTTTCCAGATGAGGAAACTGAGGTGCAGAGCAGTCACGTAACTTGCCCAAGTTACATGGTGGATCTGGGACTTCAATCCAGGACTGTGGGATCCAGGGAGCTCCTTTTAAGGGGGAAAGGGAGGAGAACCCAGAGTCAGGATAGGGTGACCGCAGGGGAGGGAGGAGATGGGGGCAGGGCTCACTCTCCCTGGGCTGAGAGAGGGAGTTTCTCCCAGGAAGAGGCAGGCTCTGAAGCTGTTGATCTCTAAATTACAGCGTTGGCGCGCACCGGTTGCTGCGGCAACCAAGTTGTCCTGAACCGGGGAAGTGTATAAACATTGCCACAGATGCACAATTAGATCAGGAAGAAGAATAGAACAGAAAATAGAAACTTCCAGCCTTATATAATTCTGGGCCAAAACGTTACTAGGAACCCGGGCCCGGGCCCAGCCCCGGCCCTGCCATCCGCTGGGGCCCTGGGCGGCACCATCTCTCTCCTGGGGCCCCAGCGGAGGGGAGGGTGAGGGGAAGGTCTGCCCTCCGTGGGCCCAGCTGGCACACCCGCCACCCGGCAGGGTGAGAGGCCACCTCCACCGAAACAGCTGGGGATGCTGACAGGCAAATCCTGCCTCTCACCTGCTCTAGGAAGCGGGAAAGAAGGCAGGAGGGCAACTGGCTTTAACTGAGCACCTACTGTCTCCTCGGGTCCTGTGAGGTAGGGTTTTGATCCCCGTTTTACAACTGAGGAAACTGAGGCTCAGAGAGGTGAAATGAGTTGCCTGAGTTTACATAGCTAGGTAGTGGTGTGTCTGCCTCCGCCACCCCAGGTCTTCACACCGCGAACTCAGCAATACTGACAGCACCTGGGGGCTGAAGAGTTAGACACACCTGGACTTGGACTCACTTACCAGCTGTGCGGCCTTAGACAGGCCAGTTCCCCTCTCTGAGCCCCCGTTTCCTCACCTGTGATATGGAAATAGGGATGCCTACACGGGAGCCAAAAATCAGGCCTCCCCTTATGTCCGTCCTGACCACCACACTGGAGTCTTCACCCACCACTGCTCCCAACAAGTTTGGGGACAGGACAGGAACTGACGTTGGGCTGTGGGTCCCGGCACTGCCCAGTAGAACTTTCTGCAATGATGGAAATGTCCTGCATCTGCTCTGTCCAGTATGGTGGCCATTAGCCACATGTGGCTACGGAGCCCTTGAAATGTGGCAAGTGCAGCCGGGGAACTGAAGCTAACGTTTTATTTAATTTTAATTAAATGTAAGAGCCACAGGTGGCCAGTGGCTGCCGAACTGGACCGCACAGGAGAATGTCAGACCCCCGAGAGACCCAGAAGGGCAGAGGCTGAGCCCAGGGAGGTGAGCGGGGCCCAGAGCATTCACCTCTTCCTCTGCTCAGGGCACGTGGGACAAACAGTGTGAGGGCGGTGCCGAGATGGGCATCAGGAAGCCCCCGGAAGAGCAGGCACAGGAGGTTTCGGTGGGGGAGGAGGGGCAGCGGGAGGGGCTGGGACTAGGGCCTGGATCCCGGTGGCCTCAGCTTCTGGTCTGGCAGACCCCGATCCCGGAGCTGGGCCAGCCACGGAGGCACTCCCTCCCTGTTGTCAGAACCACCTTAACATTCTGCCCACGTGGTGGAGGAAGCCTTGGGTCCCAGTCCAGGCTCTGCCCCTTCTGAGCATCATTGGGTGGGGTCCCTGCAGCCCTGGAACCCGGACTCCGGGGGGCCCTTGGAGAGCTGCTCCCACGGCAGCCACTCGCTCCCCAGCGTCTCACGTGTCTGCTTCTCCCCCGCAGGCCCTGCGTCTTCCCAGGTGACCACGCCGGCTTCAGGACATGCACGGGCACAGCCGCAACGGGCAGGCCCACGTGCCCCGGCGGAAACGCCGCAACCGCTTCGTCAAGAAGAACGGCCAATGCAACGTCTACTTCGCCAACCTGAGCAACAAGTCGCAGCGCTACATGGCGGACATCTTCACCACCTGCGTGGACACACGCTGGCGCTACATGCTGATGATCTTTTCCGCGGCCTTCCTTGTCTCCTGGCTCTTTTTCGGCCTCCTCTTCTGGTGCATCGCCTTCTTCCACGGTGACCTGGAGGCCGGCCCGGCGGGGGCCGCGGCGGGGGCCCCGGTGGCGGGAGGCGGCGGGGCGGCCCCGGCGGCCGCCAAGCCCTGCATCATGCATGTGAACGGCTTCCTGGGTGCCTTCCTGTTCTCCGTGGAGACGCAGACTACCATCGGCTATGGGTTCCGATGCGTGACGGAGGAGTGCCCGCTGGCGGTCATCGCCGTGGTGGTCCAGTCCATCGTGGGCTGCGTCATCGACTCCTTCATGATCGGCACCATCATGGCCAAGATGGCCCGGCCCAAGAAGCGGGCGCAGACGCTGCTGTTCAGCCACCACGCGGTCATCTCGGTGCGCGACGGCAAGCTCTGCCTGATGTGGCGCGTGGGCAACCTGCGCAAGAGCCACATCGTGGAGGCCCACGTGCGGGCCCAGCTCATCAAGCCCTACATGACCCAGGAGGGCGAGTACCTGCCGCTGGACCAGCGGGACCTCAACGTGGGCTACGACATCGGCCTGGACCGCATCTTCCTGGTGTCGCCCATCATCATCGTCCACGAGATCGACGAGGACAGCCCGCTCTACGGCATGGGCAAGGAGGAGCTGGAGTCGGAGGACTTTGAGATCGTGGTCATCCTGGAGGGCATGGTGGAGGCCACGGCCATGACCACCCAGGCCCGCAGCTCCTACCTGGCCAGCGAGATCCTATGGGGTCACCGCTTCGAGCCCGTGGTCTTTGAGGAGAAGAGCCACTACAAGGTGGACTACTCGCGCTTCCACAAGACCTACGAGGTGGCCGGCACGCCCTGCTGCTCCGCCCGGGAGCTGCAGGAGAGTAAGATCACCGTGCTGCCCGCCCCACCGCCCCCGCCCAGTGCCTTCTGCTATGAGAATGAGCTGGCCCTCATGAGCCAGGAGGAAGAGGAGATGGAGGAGGAGGCTGCGGCCGCTGCCGCCGTGGCCGCGGGCCTGGGCCTGGAGGCAGGCTCCAAGGAGGAGGCGGGCATCATCCGGATGCTGGAGTTTGGCAGCCACCTGGATCTGGAGCGCATGCAAGCCACCCTCCCGCTGGACAACATCTCCTACCGCAGGGAGTCCGCCATCTGACCTCCAGGCCCGCCCTCTCGCTTCCCACCAGAGCCTCTTCCGGGGGTGGGCTGCCAGGACACCTCCACCGCACTCAGGACACAGTGGCTCACCCTGGCTCCATGGACCTTCTGGAGAGAGCTGGGGGCTTCAGAGACTGGGAGGCCCCTTCCTACTGACTCCAGAACCCAGGCCTGGGAAAGGGCCAGGAGACCCTCGGTCTGGTCAGCCTGGGTTCTCCAGCACCTACCCACTGGCGGCTCAGGAACCCCAGACCCACCACCCTTTCCCCACCGACCCTTCAAGGACATTCCCCCTTTGCTCTCAGAACCTTGGGGAAGGCGGCTGGACTGTCGGGGGGTGGGCATCTGGGGGTTCCGGGGTGGGCCGGTGGTTAGTTTGAGGGGGTGGGAGGGGTGTGCGTTTCTTTTGCATGACTGTGGTCTGTTGCTCATGACTTTCTTTCGTAAATATCTATAAATGGAGAGATGGAGGTACCACGTCCACCTTCTGCCATTTGTACCTGCAGGGCGAGGAGGTGCACCCTCGCACTCCGCACCCCTCAAGCCCAACCTCCCCCTGCCCAGCTGGCTGGTCCCTTGAGACCCTCAGAGCCAGCTCTCTTGGCCCGTGGATAGTACTGGGTTTGGGTGCGGAAGTGGGACCTCAAGGAGCAGGGTAAGGGCCATCCCTCCCTGTGGGCCCTCTGGGCCTGCAGGCCCAGCCCGGGTTGACAATGGAGTTTGTAACTATATATTTTTAATAAAGTATATGGTCCATTAGCGGTAGGCTGATTGAAGATGGAGGGTTGGGAAGGAGAGATAGAGGGAAACGGAGAGAGAGAGAGAGAGACCAACACGATGCGTGTCTGTGTGTGGTACGTATGTGTGTATTGTGTGTATGGGATGTGTTTGTGTTGGGGGGGGTAGGTTTGTGTGTATTGTGTATGTGTCTGTGCCCCTGAGAGACTGACCCTTGGAGGGAACTTCATCACCTGCTGGTCTCCTTCCTGGGAGCCAGTGGGAAGGATCCTAAGTGGCCCTAAGAGGTTTGAGTGGGTTTGAGTCAGAGCTTTGCTATTAACAAGCTATGTGGCTGTCAGCAAGTTGCCCATCAGCTCTTGGGCTCAGCTTCACTATCTTTAGAATGGGATGAACCATATCTTCTTCCTAAGTGATGATGGGCAGGGGAAGCCTGTGTGGACGGCAGCCAACCCTTTATGACTCAGGGAGAAGTGGGAAGAGCCTGCTCGGTTTGCACCCCACATAGCCACCCCCACCAGGCTGTGCTGGTTAACTGGGCTGCAGGACACTGTGGTGGGAAGGGCTCTAGGGGGCAGCGGGGAAACCTGGTCATAGTCAGACCTGGTCTCTGCCTCACTGTGGGACCTTGGGTGAGTCCCTTCCCCGCCCCGGGCTTCAGTTAGCCTGTGCTGTGTAACAGGCCACCCTCAACTTAGACAACAACGGTTTATTCTTTCTGCGGTGCTGTAGCAGGGCTGGTTTCCCTGGGCTCACTCTAGCAGCCCTGCTCAGCGGGGAGATCAGCCTGGCTGTAAGATCCATGAGGGCCTCACTCATGGGTTGGGCGGTAGGTCTCACTGTTGGCCCGGGGGTGGGGGTGGGGGGCACGGGGGGCCCCGGTTCTCCTCCAGTGGCCTCTCTTCCTCCAGTTGGCTCTACCAGATCCCTTCCTGGTGCCTAAGAGGGTCAAGGCAGAAGCTGCAAAGTCTCTGGAGCCCAGCCCTGAACTTGTATAACATCACTTCCATTGCATTTTATTGGCTAATCCCGGTCACGATTCAAGGGGCGGGAAATTGACTCCACTCCCCGGGAGCATGGTCACGTCCCATTGCAAAGGGTGTGCACACCCGGTGGAACTGTGGCCATGATCACTCACCTAGCACAGAACTTTCGAGTTTGAGGGTTCCTTCCAGCTCTAAGTCTATTTTACAGGCCAACTGTGTACCCAGCATTTGGAGTATGAGGAAGCAGAGGGCACCCTCCCTGCTCCCAGGAATCTTCTAGCAAAGGTGCCAGCTCTCTCAGGAAACACAGGGAACCAGGAGGCAGGCTCACCTGCTGTGAAGCGCTGTTGGCTGCTTGTGAACGACCACATTTCATCAGGCAACATTTGGCCATTTGGGTAAATCACGGTGCATTCCACATGCCTTAACAGTTTAATAGGAGAAGCTGAGGCCTCTTTCCTGGAGAAAGGGGTCCAAGTCCCCAACAACTCATTACAATGTCTCTTATTTGCATAACACCTTTCAAGGTAGGTGGGACAAGGGTTTGGTCTCAGAGAGGAAACCGAGGCCCAGAGAACAAAGGGGTTGGCCTGAACCAAGGTGAAGACTGTCAGAAGCCCAGGGGCTGGCTTCCCCTTGGCCTCCCGTCCTCCCTGAGGCAGGGGCTAAGAGAGGGGGGAGGGGCTGCCTCTTTTCCTCCTTTGCCCCCACCCAGATATCCCAGAGTGCACCTGTGACCTTTGGGGGCCTCGAAGGGCCTACAGGGGCCACTCAGCAAGACAAAAGTGCAGCCACTCACCTGCCCATGCTCTCAGAAGAGCGCCAGGTGGGAGCACCCCAGGGTCTCTCCCCCCACCCCATCCAGCCCTGCAGACCCCTGGGAGGACCTCGTCTATCTCATCCTCTCCTGCCTGCTTCATCTCAGTGATGCCCTGGTGCCCTGGGCTGCCAGCGGTAGCTAAAGAAGACCTCAGACTCAGGCACCCTTGGACACAGCACCTTCAACCGGGAGCACATCTTAGAGGCCGCCCCGCCCTCCATCCATAAGGACAAGAGAGGAAGGGGTGTGGCCCCCCTTAGAGGGCCTCCCGCCCAGAGTGATGTGGAAGCACTTCAAGGTCCCTCCCGAACACCTTCCTTGTCACCAGTTTGCCACTTTGCTCAGACACTTGTGACAGTGGGCATGGGGGAGCGGGGGCCACAGGGGTGCGAGCCCAGAGCCCAGAGGCGAGCACGCAGCTGCAGGGAGGCTCCAAGGCTGCAAAGCCCTGCTGTTCCGCTCTGCGCTGACTCACCTTCCTTCTCCCACCTGCTCCCCTTCACAGCCCTCCCACCTCCCTTCCCCTCCCCTGCTCCCTGGCAGGCAGCTCCTCTGATCTCTCACTTCACTCCCGGCTCCTGGCGGCACCGAGATAGGGGGGATCGCTGAATCTGGGGGTGTAAGAACCTTAGATATATATCACTAGCTTGGAGTCACGAAAGGGGCCTTGAAGGAGTCGCCGAGCCCTTCCTGGCTCCAACCCATCTCCCCTGAGGGGCCAGGAAGCGGAGGCCCTGCCCTGTCCCCTCTCTACCCTCCTTCAGTCACAGCCCCGGGACATCTGGTGGGAGAAAGGGAGAGAGAGGTGAGGGCTCACCCAGCTGACAGCCTGCCCTCATCCCATCTAAAACCCCACCACTCGGGTCTAATTCTTCTAGGCTCATCTTTGCTTCCTCCTCCCCAGCTTCTGAAAAAACGCATTTTCCTTAACGAACGCAAATTGCGTAAGGCAAAATAGAAAAGAACCTAGAAGGCGTTCAACTCAGCTGTTTCACCTCGTGGAATTCTCGCCTTATCTTTGTTAGGCTTTAGTGAGATCCCGTGGCTATGATCCCAGCCCCTTCTTCCTGGATCTGGTTTTTCTCACTGTAGCTTTTTCTGAGTACTGATTTTCTTTTGGTATTGATGGGTTCTACACATTTTCCATGTTTTATTTTTATTTGTATAAAGGGTCCTGTGGCCCAGCACTGCTGAGCAAAACCCTGGTGGGGGGAGGGGGGTAGCTGAGGATACTGGCTGCTTTATTTATCTGTTTTTTTGGGCCATGCTGCGTGCGTGCAGGATCTCAGTTCCTTAACCAGGGATTGAACCCACGCTCTCGGCAGTGGAAGTGCAGAGGCCTAACCTCATTTTCCATTTTTAATGACAGTATAATGTTCATAATGTTCAATATAATGTTCATAAAATCATAGAGGTCAGCGGGCCAACCCCTCGTTTACAGGTGGGGAAACTGAGGCCCAGAGGGGAATAACCTTGAACCCCATTCTCCTGGACCCCAGCCCCGTGCCCTTCTCACCGCACCAATGACACACTTTGCAGGGTCCACTGCAAAGTGAAAATGTGTGTCCGTTGTTCACAAGTCGGGAACACTGTGCCATTAAAGGCACTAAAAATCAAACTTTTTCCTTTCTTCAGATTACCTCCTCTGCTCATGTGCGTGCCACATCATCCCACTGGACTTCACTCATAAAACTTACAAGGTCAAAGATAAAATGAAGAATTTCAAGACAGAGACCACAGAGCACTGAACCGAGCTTGGGTCCCTCCCATGAAGCCAGCCCTCTGATGAGCCCTGTGGGCTTAATCCTTCCCCTCCTGTATCCAGATGAACGTCAGCATTTCTCCAAGATACACAGCGCTGTGATCAACATCTTCGTGCCTTTTGTTTTTTTTTTTAAACTTTTTCTTCTTGTGGCTGTCTGCTCAGGCTAACTACTAACAGAATTCCGGACTGTGTTTGTCAGACCCTCTAAAAATGCAACCGCCAGCATCTGAACCTTTGCACAAGGACGGTGTAGAGCTGGGTTCCCAGGATTAGAAAATGGAGAAGTTTCAAAACCAAGCTCCCCCTCCACAGCTCCTCCAGGGGCTCCCTGTGGAGAGGGTGAGCGCAGATAAGAACACCGGCCGGCAACGGGCACAGCGCTGGTGCCAGGGCACAGAGCCAAGAGCAACAGCATTTATGTCAATATTTGCAGAGGAAAGATCATGAGTATGAGAGCCAGGGGGTCCTGCCACTACCAGTTAGTAGCTTTGTGACTTTGGGCAAGTTGATTTATGTCTAGGAACCTGCTTCCTCATCTGTTAGGAAGGGCCATTCATATCTGTGTCACACGCTTGTTGTTTGGGTTAAATGAGATCTCATACGTGACCAGGCACAGCATGGTCTTGGGCATATTACTGGATCCAGATAAGTGTGAGGACTTCCCTGGTGGTGCAGTGGTTAAGAATCCGCCTGCCAATTCAGGGGACACGGGTTCGAGCCCTGGTCTGGGAAGATCCCACATGCCGCGGCGCAACTAAGCCCGTGAGCCACAACTACTGAGCCTGCGTGCCACAACTACTGAAGCCCGTGCACCTAGAGCCTGTGCTCCACAACGAGAGAAGCCACCGCAGTGAGAAGCCCGCGCACCACAAGGAAGAGCAGCTCCCGCTTTCTGCAACTAGAGAAAGCCCGCGCGCAGCAACAAAGACCCAACACAGCCAAAAATAAATAAATAAACTAATTTAAATAAATAAATAATTTTTAAAAATAATAATAAATGTGAGTTGTCTTCCAGTCAGGATTTTGATGGGTTTACCATATGAGACACAGTTTGAAAACTGACCCCTGAGGTTCCTGGCAGCCATGCAAAAAGGGAAAACCGATAGGTCACTCAGCTCACAGGATATGAGTACTGGGAGGCTAGAGAAGGAGTTTGGGGTCTGAGTTA